TAGCTTCTGGGAGATGCTCTGCATTTTTTTGGTTTGTGGTTGTATTGCTCCAGTCCCTCCTCCTCTTGTTGCCCTCTCCTGTGTTTGTATTTAACTCTATTCTGTGCCTTTCTTGGGCTTCCAAGGTGTCTCAGTGGGTGAGTACCTGCCTGCAATATAGGAGATGTGGGTTCGATCCCTGGGTCAGGAAGATCCCCTGGAGGAGGGCATGGCAACTCACTCCAGTATTTTTCTTGGAGAATCCTATTGGACAGAGGAACCTGGTGGGCTACAGAGGGTCACAGAGTTGGATGTAACTGAGCAAGCACACAGCATGCCGTGTCTCTCTTATAAGGATAATTGTGCTGGCATTTTGGATCCACCTGGTTAATCGAGAATAAGTTTCTTATCTCAAGAACTTCAGTGTAATCACATCATTTACCATTTAAGGTAACATTCACTTTTTTNTCTTATAAGGATAATTGTGCTGGCATTTTGGATCCACCTGGTTAATCGAGAATAAGTTTCTTATCTCAAGAACTTCAGTGTAATCACATCATTTACCATTTAAGGTAACATTCACTTTTTTGTCACATAATATTCATAGCTTTCAGAGATCAGAAAGTGAATATATTTTAAAGAAGCCATTGTTTTCTCAGCCTACCGCAGTCACTCTTGTGTTCAGATGTCCTACCCAGAGAGTTTGGATGACTGTATTTCTCTTCAAATTTCTGTATAAGTCAAATTAACCATATTTCATAAACAGTAAAAACTTGAATTGATTCTAGGATATTAAATAGTATGGAAAGAAATAAAATTGAGTTTCTTTACATTTTCACTGAATTCACAGTATTTTGTCACTTATATTGCATATAATTGCATTAATACATCACTCATTCATTTAAAAAAACAGGTATAGAGCATCAAAAAAGTGACAGATTTTATTTTCTTGAGCTCCAAAATTACTGCTGACAGTGACTGCAGCCATGAAATTAAAAGATGCTTGCTCCTTGGAAGGAAAGCTATGACAAACCTAGACAGCATATTAAACAGCAGAGACATAACTTTGCTGACAAAGTTCCATATAATCAAGGCTATGGTTTTTCCAGTAGTCATGTATGAATGTGAGAGTTGGACCATAAAGAAGGCTGAGCACTGAAGAACTGATGTTTTTGTATTGTGGTGCTGGAGAAGACTCTTGAGAGTCCCTTGGAGTGCAAAGAGATTAAACCCGTCAATCTTAAAGGAAATCAACCCTGAATATACGTTGGAAGGACTGATGCTGAAGTTGAAGCTCCAATACTTTGGCCACCTGATGTGAAGAGCCAACTCATTTGAAAAGACCCTGATGCTATGGAAATTTAAAAGGCAAGAGGCAAAGAAAGGGTGGCAGAGGTTGAGATGATTAGATAGCATCACTGACTCCATGGATGTGAGTTTGAGCAAGTCTGCACTATCTGAGAGACAGTGAAGGACAGGAAGCCTGGCATGCTGTAGTCCATGTGATCACAAAGAGTTGGGCAGGACTTAGGGAGTGAACAACAATAACATAGAGCATTAGCTGTGCTCTTTAGACATAATGTTTGGCCCTGGGACACAAAAATAAGTAAGGTATGATTCCTTCTATTGAGCAGCCGGTAATCTAGACAAGAAGATATTTGTGTCATCATTTCATTCAATGTCTAAGTTTTATTATACTCCTTTAGCTAGGCTATGGATTCACGCTTTTAACCTATATTGCCACTCTTTTAGTTTGGTATTGGTTCTTATTTTAGAGAAGAGTGAACCTAAAGAAAATATAAGTTTACGACTATACACATAGTAGGAGGTAGAGCTTAGATTTAAATTATTGCAGTCTGATTCCAGAACTCAGTTATCAAACATTGCATATACTACATTGATTATTTGACAGAATATCCTATAATGGAATTTTAAAGACTGAGCATTCTCCTTTTCTAAGTGGTGTTCAATTATTGTCTTCTAGGTATACTCAAACTTTTCCATGTGGCTTTGTCTTTCCTGGTGCTTGTCTTTTGGATGTTACAGTATGTGAATGTTCCTTTGTGACTTGGATTACATGGGTTTGCCCTAAGACAAACAAGAGTTTGGAGGTGTGACATCCTATTAGAAACACCTCTCTGAATCTCCCTTTAGCTTATATGTGAAAATTGATTATTGGTGATGGTGAGAAATTATTCTTTTGTAAAGTAAGAGAGTCAGATATGACTTAGTGACTAAACAACAACAAAGTACCCAACAGATTTACCAATGATAGGGAAACTCCTGCATATTTGGTAATAACACATGGATTTCCATATATTAACAACTTGTTCTGCAACTTTTGTGAGAACATATGAGTGGTATTATTTGGCATCTAAGAAGCTGTCCTTCAATCCTCATTTTCACAATCTTGACCAATCTGCCTAAATAATCACTAGATTTTCTTTAAGGAACTGATATCATGAGAGGTCTCTTCTTCTGCAAGAATATTTTTATAGCTCTTTCTAGTTACCAAAAGACTGACGCACTATAACAGGTATTCAGTAACCTTCGAAAAATTCATGTCAAATTGCACTGATTGTTTACCAGTTTTAGCAAGTATCAGACGATGCAAGAAAAGGTGGTGGATTTGGTACAAAGAAATTCCCCAGTATAACTCCAAAGGGACCAATAATGACACCAAGAGTGGAGTGTAAGTAACCAAAAAAAAAGGTTCAATGGTGTTGCTCAGTCATGTTGGACTCTTTGCAGCCCTTTGGACTGTAGCCCACCAGACTCCTCTATACGTGGAACTTTTCAGGCAAGAATGGTGGAATGGGTTGCCATTTCCTCCTCCAAGGTATCTTCCTGAACCAAGGTTGAACCCATGTCTCCTGTATCTACTGCATTTTGGGTTAATTCTTTGCCACTGAGCCATCAAGAAAGTCAGAGACTTTTAACTATCACTATTGTTTTGCTCAAGCCTGGGCCAAGGATGCATTTAGGAGGGACACGTTCAGTGGTAATCCACCATGCCTAACACATTCCAGACTCTAGTGACAGCTTTCACATTGGAAGCATCCATTTGGATGGTGCTATGATAGTGATTTTTTGTTTTCTCAGCTGTTTCTGTCCAATATTGTTATGTTCAGGGTAACAATAGTTTGTGGATCTTAATAAAAATGTCGAAGAACTAACATCTGTACAGTGTGGTTAATCATCAAGGAATACAGGGTGTCGCTTTTACCTCACAAACTTTAATCATAATTGGAAGAAGTAAATAGCTCAGTTAGTACTCCCTTCTTCAAATTATATTTTCAGATTTTCCAGTCTCTGCTTCTCTCAAAGAGCTTTCAACACCCTGCTTAATGTGGTCTGGAAGGGAGGGCTGGCTGGAATTCTAATTTTCTGCATTTGTGAAAACAGCTCTCTTTGGCTCTAGATACAGAAATGAAAGTATGATCTGGTACCATTAATCCATACTACTGTGGTATAAGTAACTCTTCCACTGAGTTCTCACTGAATATTTTTCTAGAACAACATCTTCCCTCTTTCAAGAATAAAGTGGTTCTGGATATTGAACATTTTACCTTGGAAAATACTGTTACTCTATGTCCACAAGGAAGCTTTCTCTCCAATCTCATGAAGAACCATACTGGGTAAACTTCTAATTTTCCTCTTCACCCTCATCATTCTCTCAGAAATGGAAAACTTTTCCTCCCTTTCTTATTATCTGCAGTTTCCTTTCTATCTTCTCTTTCTCTCACTCCTTATCCCTCTCTCCCCTCACTCTCTTTCTCTCCCCGTCACACACACACACACACACACACACACACACACACACACACCAGCTTGTTCTCTAGCAGCATCTGCCCTTTTCTTCTATTCCCAATTATCAAACAGAAACCACACTGGCATATTTAGATTCCTTCTCGATCTAAATCCTTCTGTTTAGAAGGCCCATGACTGTCTCAGGCTTCTTTGACGCAGCTGGGGTGTTAGTTGTGTTTGGGATAGGAAATAGAACTCCTACTCTGCTTTCCATATTAGCATTGTAAGAGAGCATGGTTCCTGCCACAGCTTTAGACAACTGATACTTAAGACAATCCTCACTTAGATCCTTGGGTGTGTCCTTTTGTAGTTGGAACCCATAGGGGATAAGGATTGAAAAATTAGGCTTCTGTAACCTCTGATCTGTAGGAAGTAGTATACTTGGAAGTGTCTGCCTAGGGAATGATTTGGGAGCTGTGTGTTAATCTGTCCTCAGAGTAGAAGGTTCTGATATGCTTTATAAACAAAAATCAGCCAATCAATCAAAAGGATGTCCCTGAATCTGTCATCCACATACCTATTCTTGGATAAGCACTTCTTTCTCAGCATAAAGCTTCACAGACTTGAAAAGAACCTTCCTTTTGGTTATTTTAATGTGAAAATACATAGTCTCCTGTTGATCAGAACTTATGCTTCCTCCTATTGTCAACTACAACTGGGGCAATAATGAATTAACAACCAAGTTGTTAACATATGTCTAAAACCCCCACATCTCTGTTTTCACTCTTGCTTTCTCTGTGCATCTCTGTGTTTGCCTTTGAAATGTAAATAGGAAAATTTCTTTCCCCAGACTGGTTAGCTCTAAACCTTAGGAGATTTAATTATCTTCTACTGGTCAGATGTTTCTACTTTCATTTAGGTGTGGCTAACAACTGTCAGTTATTTTAACAGTCTTACATAGTTTACTCTGACACTATCTCCATATCTTTTCAAGAGAAAAAAACATGACTTGAAGTTATGTTGTATAGTTGCTAAGTTGTGTCTGATTCTTGTGACTCCATGGACTGTAGCCTGCCAGGCTCCTCAGTCCATGAAACTTCCCAGGCAAGAATGCTGGAGTGGGTTGCCATTTCCTTTTCCAGTTGATCTTCTTGAACCTGGGATCAAATCTGTGTCTCCCACGTTGCAGGCAGACTCTTTACCACTGAGCCACCTGGGAAGCCTGACTTGAAGCTATAAATCCAAGCATATTAGTAGGTTGTTTGGTTTATTTGCTACAAAGCCTCTCATATGGTTCAATTTCACTGCACACAATCAAAGCTCTTCTGAACAAATCTGGACAAGAAGCCAATGACTATGGTTTGTGGTCATCCATGATGGGGGTTGAAAATATGTGGTGGTCATATTTTGGTGAGCATTTGTTTTTCCATGTGGAAATGGACATGATTATCCTGTGTTATTTGTAGCTACAAGATCTTTCATCCATATTACTTCTCCATAATATGGCTTTAAATTACCTGCTAAGAATTGATTAGAACATTTTATATTCTTCTCTTTCAGAATTATTGTTTTCAGTCTAGGGCAACATTTATCCATGCCCTTTTTTACAATAATAGTAGCTATCATAGCAGTGGATATTGTTATGGACAACTCTGATATATTATTGTTCAAAATACTTGCTTCTCTACCCTGAAAGAATTTTACTGTAGAGCTCTTGTCTGGAGGGGAATTTTGCTTTCTGTCCTTTTGAATTCATGCTGGCACAGGCTCTGGATAGTGAATTGTGAGTAATATGAATATGGGAGATTTCTGAACAGAAGTTTTCCAAATCAGGTTGTAGTTACCAATCTCTTTCCCCCCAGAAATCCAAGACATAGGCTCTTCTCTGTCTGCAAGAGCAAGAGATAAAACTGTTATAAGCTGCTAACATCTTTTGGGTTGTTCGTTACTATAGAAAAAAGAAATATAGACCAAACTGATTAATAAAACCCCTTTGACTTAGCAGTTGCAACTCTGGGAATTTATTCTTAGCAATAACTTAAGTGAGGAAACATAAAAGATTAGAGATATTTTTTACATTGTTACAGGAATTTCAAAAAATTACAACAAAAATTTAACAGTGATTTCATGAAATAACAGCACATCTATACAATGGAAAACTAGGCAGTCATTAAAAATCATTGTGGCATGTATTTACACATATGTACTTTTGTATAGTTATTTATGCATGTCTGTGTCTTTATCTGTTTTAAAGTGTCATGGCAGGATATCCAAAATATGGTGGTGGTGATTTAGTTGCTAAGTCATGTCCAACTCTTGTGATCCCGGTGGAGTATAGCCTGCCATGGAATTCCATGGACTGTATCATGCCATGTATCCCTGTCCATGTGATTCTCCAGGTCGGAATACTGGAGTGGGTTGCCATTTCCTTCCTCAGAGGATCTTCCCGACCCAGGAATTGAACCTGCGTCTCCTGCATCGAAAATATATTGATAACTAAAAAGTTATATAGCACAAAGATTTGATTTTAGCAAAATGATTTGTTCATCAAAAGAATATGCACTGAGCATCAAAAAATTATTCTAGGGCTAGAGTTATTATAATAAACATTGAAGACAGACCAAAAAGAGAAGTCATACAGTTGTGCAGGGAAGTGTAGAATAAGAGAAATGCAGTGCTGTTAGCTTTATCTTCTGAGTAATGTAGAGAAGCCACAGAAGGACCAGGCTGTCAGTTGTCAATGCTCTTTCTTCCTCTCCTACTCACTGCCTTTGTAAATGCAAGCCACAGATGCAATTTAGACACAGTGCATCTTTTAGCGTGCACCTAATGATCAATAAATTGAATGTTGAGTCTGAAATCACCTCCAGGGTAATGTATGATTTAAATAAGAGTGTATCAAAATAAACACCCCATGAAGGCTTTGCTCCCTGCAAAATAGAAAAGTTCTCTGTCTAGTTTCTTCTGTATTATTTGCTGTTTACTATTTATTCTTACTTATTTGTTGTATTCCCAAGTTCTAATCTTAGTGATAACTAAAAAGTTATATAGCACAAAGATTTGATTTTAGCAAAATGATTTGTTCATCAAAAGAATATGCACTGAGCATCAAAAAATTATTCTAGGGCTAGAGTTATTATAATAAACATTGAAGACAGACCAAAAAGAGAAGTCATACAGTTGTGCAGGGAAGTGTAGAATAAGAGAAATGCAGTGCTGTTAGCTTTATCTTCTGAGTAATGTAGAGAAGCCACAGAAGGACCAGGCTGTCAGTTGTCAATGCTCTTTCTTCCTCTCCTACTCACTGCCTTTGTAAATGCAAGCCACAGATGCAATTTAGACACAGTGCATCTTTTAGCATGCACCTAATGATCAATAAATTGAATGTTGAGTCTGAAATCACCTCCAGGGTAATGTATGATTTAAATAAGAGTGTATCAAAATAAACACCCCATGAAGGCTTTGCTCCCTGCAAAATAGAAAAGTTCTCTGTCTAGTTTCTTCTGTATTATTTGCTGTTTACTATTTATTCTTACTTATTTGTTGTATTCCCAAGTTCTAATCTTAGGATCACTGAAGTTACTCAAAACTCTTGTTGGATGAACTACTGATCTGGCTTTTTTTTTTAAAATCTTCTCAAGCATGTACAGGATTTTATCAAAAATTTCGTTCAGCTTCTCCATCCATTACAGAGAAACCCAAAGGAACTTTATGGCCAACTCAATACTTCTGAATTCTATGACTTAATTTTTGATCTATATATCATGACATGGAGGGGATTTCCTCATGGCTCAGAGGGTAGAGTCTGCCTGCAATGTGGAAGACCTGAGTTTGATCCCTGGGTTGGAAAGATCCCCTGGAGAAGAAAATGGCAACCCACTTCCTTATTCTTGCCTGGAAAATCCCATGAGTGGAGGATCCTGGTGGCCTATAGGGCTAGAGTCCATAGGGTTACAAAGAGTCAGACACAACTGAGCTACTTCATTTTCACTTTCATCATGACATGAGACAATATGGTTGGCTGAGTATAGTGCTTGCTCCCATGACTTGGCCTATCCTGGGGTCTGTTTGCCCTCAGTTGCTTCCTTCTCTGGCTCTCTTCTGTATCACAGGAAAGCTGACCCCTCCAAGCTGCAAGTCCCTGGTTCCCATGACAGCAATCTTCTCACTGCGACTGGCCAAGAGGAGGCACCTACAGATATTTGAAGGTGAACAAAGGAAAAAATCAGGGTACTCCTTTCCCTCCTATTTCTCCTGTGCAGTATTTTGCTATCTAGCTCTGTGACTCCAGCATCTTTTGCTCCAGTTCGCTGGGTTCCAGATTCCACAGAGTGACTCTGGCTCTGGGAGTCACGTAACATCATCTTCTCGAATTGAACCTATAGCCTAGGAATGTTCGGTGGCCTCAGACAATTACCTGGGCAACCAATCTCCAGTCTTAAATACCCTCTGTTATGAAATATTAAATCAGCTTCTGTTTTTCTGTTTGCAAGGTGGTCTTCTGCCAATGCAGAAGACATAAGGGAGGCAGGTTCGATCCCTGCTTTGGGGAGATACCCTGGAGGAGGGCAGGGCAACCCACCCCAGTGTTCCTGCCTGGAGAGTTCCATAGACAGAGAAGGCTTGTGGGCTACTTTCACAGGGTTGCAAAGCGTTGTATACAACATAAGCGGCTTAGCACCGCACAGCACAGCATAAAACATTAGTTATTGATTGTTTAGGTCAAAATATTATTTGCTGTAATGACATGTAATGAGGGAAATGAGATACAATTTATAGTATTTTTTTTTTAATTCAAAGATGTTATCTGCAATAAATGGCAAAATTTAAGAAAATGCTTCTCAGAAGCTCAAAATGGATTTTTTTTGCTGGGTGGTCACAGTGAAGATGGGGAAAGACTCTGCTTATGTGATTCTAAATAGGTAGAACTTCTCTATGTAAACAAATTCAGGCTTGCTTACTCTAAAAGTGCCATTTAGCTATGGACTTGATTTATTACACTTGAGATGGAGATGACCACTTTCCAGTGGTATGAAGGGCAATGCTATCTTAAAAAGGAAGAGAGAGAGACAGAAAAACCAGTTTATGCAAGTTCTCTGTTCTCTTTGTGTGGTCCATGCAGATCTGTAAAGGGTCTCTCTCTGCTGAGCCTGATTCTGACTTGGCTGCCATCCTGGCCCTTGACTCTCCCTTTCTCCAGGTGGAAAATGAAAACTCTAGTTCCAGACCACATACTCTACAACACATCTCTGTTTTTAGCCACACCTGCATGAGCTTTATTTCCACATTTCATTCCTGCAGTCCTTGAATTTCATATTGTAATGTTATGTTCTCTGAAAAAGAGGTGCATATCAGCAGCCTAGAGATGTGCCCTATCTCTGTACACTTATTTCATGTGATTATCTTTTCTTAAAAATTGTAATAATGTGAAGTAAAACATTCTTTACTTAAGTTTGGAAAGACAGTATTGTATAATGGTTAAGAACTCAGGCATGTGGATTCTGATCCTTATTGTGCCAGTTAACCAGTTCTGGGAGCTCAAGCAAGTTCAAATCACTAAATCTTCATTTTATCATCTGTAAAATAGAAATGAAAAGATTTACACTACCTAAAAGGCATTTGATGAGTGAATCAAATGTTTTATAAGTAACTTACAGTAGTACCTGGAAAACGTGAGTGTGTGTGCTCGCTCATGTCCAACTCTGCGACCATGTGGACTGTAGCCTGCCAGGCTCCTCTGGCCATGGGATTTCCCAGGCAATAACACTGGATTGGGTTGCTATCTTCCCAACACAGAAACCAAACCCGTGCCTCCTGCATATCCTGCATTGGCAGGCAGATTCTTTATCCACTGAGCGACTTGGGAGGCCCCCTGGGAAATGGGGATAGAGTAAATACTCAAGACTTGTAAGCTATGATGATGATAGTGATGGGGGTGCCTGTATAACAGAGTTTAATGAGAAGGCTGACTAATATTTTTAATATTAGTTATGCTCTGGTATATTTTAAGTTCTTTTCAGAGCTAGTGTATATTTATGAGCATATTTCTATATATGAGTTTTTATGTATTTATCTTTTTTATAAAGTCCAAAGAATACTTGGGACTCTCAAAAAAATAGAAAAAGAGTTATGGCCAAATAAGGTTCTGTTTTCTTTTGTTTTTCTTAAGCAGGAATCTATTGAAGCACTTGGAAAACAATAAAGAGTCAGCGCAGTGCTACTTAAAATGTTCAAACTAACCTCGGGATGCAGCGCAGACATTCCCCTGTCTAGTTGCAGCATTCTTCTGGGCATAATAAAACACAGGACAACCACTTTGAGTCATGAAAAGCCTCTTCTCTAAATGCCTCATAGTAAAATAGAAGAGAATGGGCACTTCCTTTCCAACTGAGGATATATTTTCCATCTTCTCCTAACGTGTGTGCTAAGTCACTTCAGTTGTGTCCAACTCTTTGTGACCCCGTGGACTATAGCCCTCCAGGCTCCTCTGTCCATGGGACTCTCCAGGCAAGAAGATTGGAGTGGGTTGCCATGCCCTCCTCCAGGAGATCTTCCCGACCCAGGGATTGAATCTGTGTCTTTTATGTCTCTTGTATTGACAGGACGGTTCTTTACCACTAGTGCCACCTAGGAAACCCCAAAGTGAAAGTATAATTGTTAGTTGCTCAGTCATGTCTAACTCTCTGTGATCCCTTGGACTGTAGCCCATCAGGCTCCTCTATCCATGGAATTCTTTGGGCAAGAATACAGGAGTGGGTAGCATTCCCTTCTCCAGGGGAACTTCCAGGGATTGAACCCATGTCTCCTGACTTGCGGGCAGATTCTTTATAATCTGAGCCACCAGGGAAGACCTTCTTAATCCTTCTCAAATTCTACCTGATTTGAACAA